TAATAGTAATAACAAACTAAATAAGTAGTTTTACTACTAATTTTTATTACTAATTTTAATTATTAATAACTCTCTGAATAATCTCAGTACAGAATACTAAAAAAACCGACCTCAAAAGTAATTCATTCCCTCGTTTGCCACCCTGAGAGGTGGAAAATTTTCTTTAAATTTAATTGGGATCACTAGTGAGGTACCTTCAGTCCAACAAAAAAGAAATATCTAAATCGGTTCATAAATCAGGAAGCCGGAGCGGTTAAAAATATATATTAAAAATATGCACAATTCCGTTAAGAAAGAAGATCCACCATATTAACCTTAGAACTAAGTCCAAACTCATGGTACCGCGATTTGAATTAAATAAGGATCAATTCTTTTATGGGGAACTCATGGGGAACTGTACTACAGACTACGTTTTAGATAAAGATATATAGAAAAACGACATGGATCTAGATTTCATATAAATTCGACTCAAAGTGTCCATAACATTTAAGTTTATTTGAAAAGAGCAATCCCTAGAGTTTCTTGCTCGTTCTTCTCAGGGAAGTTAGCACAGTAGTAACGAGCAGTAGTTTAAAAAAATGTACATTTTATTACCTATGGAATAAATGATTCTTTGCTTTTGTGACTCTGCTATATTGAGGTCACGGTAAAAAGCCATAGCAGCCTTTGACCTACCGGCTCTCACTCAGATGTAGTGGGTTCAAATTGGACCACTGAGTTTCTAGGAATTTTATTGGAAATTTATATTTATTATTAGACTTCACTCGTTTTCCGAGGGCTGTGAACTTTTCCCTTAACAGTCTTACTTAACATTCTTGCATTGATGCAGAATTTAACTAGAATAATGATCTTGAATGATAGGTTGCAATTATGTTAACTACAACCAGTTGCCTCGTTAGTATGATAATGCGTTTAGTACACTTCAATGCTTGGGTTAAATGGCTAGTATCCATGAGTTCTTGTTTGACGCTGAGTTATAGACAGTTTGTGCTTATATAAAATTGAAAGTCTTTATTTTAACAAAAGTCTGGTTATGAAGAAGTTAAAATCTCTACTTACAAAATTATGGTACTTTAGCTGATGTAATACCGGTTAAATATTTCACGAGAGTAACCCAGCTCCTTCTTTATAAGCCTCGTTGAAACAACAACAGAGAAAAATTTAAGGAGACTGGTATCATGACTCTGGCATCACAGTACATTTACTCAAATATTTTACAAGCCCGTAAAAATATACATAATTTCAATAAGAAACAAGATAGGGATAATATTATCCTTAGAACTAAATCCAAACTCACGGTACTGTCAATAACACGTCAAATTTGACACTTTGTACTTTGGATCATTCTTATCGTAAACGGCATAGAGTTAACTCTCAAATGTTAAGCTTGACGAGCTCTTGACCCTGTACCACGATTCGTTTTACCAAGGTAAACGACTCTTTTGTGGGGAATTGTATACGTTTTTACAGTAATATATTACTAAGATTATCATTTCCTAAGTTTAAAAACTACACTAAAACTATTTTGATTGAAAAGTCATATTACAAAATTGAAGAACGTGTTAGATAAAGATGTGTGGAGAGACGACATGGCTACAGATTCCACACAAATTCGATTCAAAGTGTATTCCATAGTTTATTTGAAAAGAGCGATCCCTAGAGTTTCTTGCTCGTTCTTCTCAGGGAGGTCAGCGTGGTGAACGAGCAGTAGCTTAAAAAGTAACTTGAAAGTGACGTTTAAATTGATTAGTGTAAATTGATTTTACCTAATGATTCTTTGACTTTGGCAGCATCCAGAAAACATTAGGTGCTAAGCTAGATGCACTGATGCTTCATTTCGTCCAAGTTCTGGTGACATGAAAGTCTACCAACTCCTCGAGGGACACAATGAGTATCATTGTGTTTTTGTCGTTATTTCGACCATGCACCTAGTAACAATGGTCTTAAGTTTAATTTTGTATTACTAACTAACAATGGAGGCCGAGATATCCAAATAAAGATTTATTGTTATCATTTAGGACTCCACTCGGAGGGCTGGCTTCACGGCAAGATTAAGTAGGTAATAATTCCGAAAACTCTGCTTGGAGTAATTTATTATTTGCACGATTTGGAGGGAAAATTCTAGGTCCGTGAGGCTCTAGCGTCGGTTGTTTTGTACTATATTATATCAAATATTTAGAAACTCAAATGGAAGCCTCAATGGCTGGTATCTATCTTGACCAACTAATTACTATAGCACAAAGATTGCTAGTTTAGTAGCGGTAGAGCTCCTTGTGAAAGAGTTCATCCAGGGAAGTACTGTCACCTTACCTATTTCTGCCGCCTTGCAGTAATGTCAGCATTACTGTGTTCCGGTGTTGAAGGGTAACGGTGGTGGTGAAATTACTGGCACATGGGACTTGTCAACTTATCACTAATGGTGACAGGCGCAGCGGCAGTGATCAGATCTTTACTATTTAAAGACCAGTGGCACTGCAAAAAGCTTACCATCAGGCGCACGACTGGTTCGTCCTATCATTTGATATTATATAAAATAGTAACGCCTTATTGTAAATTTCAAATTAAATGTCGCACATAACTTCTGAAAAACTCAAAGGAGCGAGCCCGTATTTAAACCCATAAGTCAAACCATTAGGTTACCACGGCATTCCTACCAGGATATTATTATATATAAAACTTGGCTACTTATGAGCGACGTACGGGCGGAGGCCGAGCGTTACTAAACGCGGGAACACTAAAATCCGTTGCCCACCGTACCGAACTTGCAACTAGAAATCCGCGGGTAATAGGTCCCTGACCTGAAAAGTGTTAGAAACGATGAAACGTTTTGTACCCGACCAAAAAATCTTTTATTGGATATTGAATTGTACAGTGTCGATGAGTTTCTTTTGAAACAATTTAATTTTATTTTATTCGACAAGCAGTAGTTATACTACTTTATTTTATATTCATTATTATTATTATAATTTTATGACTGACTATCATAGTTATCCCTTGACATTGTATTTCCAATTGCAATATTGTGACATTGATAACATGAAATAAACGATTCTATTCTATTCTATTCTATTTATTTGTTTTTTCAAATACACCCCAACATACCCTCAGCTGTAAGCGTGGGACATGTAAAGAGTCCAAAATTTTGGAAAAACAAATACACGCAATTTAGATCCGAGAAAAAGGCTTCATTTGATGAATTTGTTCAATCTAGCCCCTAATATGTCAGCCGCTAATACGGTCTTAGTTTTTTTCTTGAATAAGTTGATGAAAATTAAATATTGTAATTAACAACAGTTCATAGATTTAAAAGTAACGAAATGCAGGTTTCGATTAAGAAAAGCAATCGAGTAAAATAACTCACCAGCGATGGCTAACTGCATGATAAAGAAGTTCATCCGGCTCTTCCTAGCATTAGTACACAGCAATGCCGCGATCACAGACGCGTTCAGCACCACAATCAAGATGAACAACGTCCATAATACCGTATACTGAATCCACTGGAACAAACAAAAGTATCATAAATAATGTTACTCATAATGATAGGGATAATGTACTTAGAAACCTTGTGTATGCTAGACGGCTTCTAGACTGCCTGTTATATACAGTGTGTTTTTTTTATCTGAGACAGTATGGAGAAATCCGAAACGATAGGATTTGCAGGGAAACTGTCTAGAAACCATTAAGAGTCGATACTACCTCTAATGACTTTGGTTGATTCTGCTTAACGGTCAACAATTTCGTTGAAACAATCACTTTGGAAAAAATATGCAGTAAAATTTAAGATATAAGTACACTCAAAAGCACATCAAGCTTGACACTTTGTACTTTGGACCGTTCTTATCGTAAGCGGCATAGAGTTGGACTTAAGTCTTAAGTGTCAAGCATGACATGCTCTTGACCCTGTGCATATAAAACACGATTCTTAAACATTTGCACGATAGAAAAAAAAACACAAACTGACCTCGAAATTTTACAAGACAACCGCTGTATTTAAGAGGTTCTTTACATATATCAATGTTTTTTTTTAAATCAACTGAACTAAATGAGCGGTACACGATATACATTTATCAAATGGCCTTAATTTTGCTTGTAAAAAAAAACAATTCTGAAATAAAGCCACTCATAGCCTAGCACTATAGAAACCCTGTATCATGGTGCCATGGATACACACATAGATAACCACAAACTACACCCAAAAACTCACGAGAGAAATAAATGTAGGCCTTACAAATATTTCTCCCGGCCCGGCAATCGAACCCGGGACCTCTGCATGGCAGTCCAGCATAGTAACTCTTCGGTTACGGAGGCAGAAATGTGTAATACCTAACCTGTTTTTGCCTACTAGCAGTAATGTAGACAATTTCTGCGTTCCAATTTTGAAGGGTACGTGTGCAATTAATTACGTGTTTCTCCAGTGTTCTTGCTGCTACGAATAGTACCGATTCAGAACGAGAAAAATGTTGAATTCGAGCTGTGGTAGTACCGATTCTGTATTTTTTGTGAAAACATTTTGGCATAGCCAATTTTTTGGTCTACACGCTTGGCCAAAAACGTACAGTCTATACAAAAAAAAGTCCCAACTTTATTCATTTATATGGACAACTCATGATTGATCAAAAAAAATCCTATGCTAAAATTATTTTCACAAAAAAAAATTCTAACGGATCCTAAGACAGGTTCTCTGTAGGTATCTCCTATGATTTCGGATTACCCCATTTAAAAACACACTGTATTGGTACATAGAAATCCAAACATACACACATTTCTCTCCAAATTCGCTAATGTAGTACTTGAAATTACGTATATAATATGCATTGGTAAATTCAACAACCTACATATCTGCTACTTTATTTTATTGCAAAAAAGCATTATCAATGTTTTCCATTATGCTAAAACGTGAAGTAGACATGGAAGTATTTTCCACTAGGTACATTATTTCAGCGTCACGTCACAGCAATTAACTAAAAATAATCAATATCAGTTAAAAGCAGATGATATCGTCAATGACATTACACGATATGGCGTCCATTACACAATGAAGCCTTTCACGGGTGCTATCGTTAATCCAGTCCGAAATGATGTGGGTGCGACAAGATTTACCGGCTTTTAGGTGATTTACCTCTAGTTTACCTTTGCGTACCTTTGTGTTAATTTGTGTTTATCAACACTATCGAATAAAACAACTCTCCTGAACTCACATAATTGTGCAATAAAACAGTCTATAAAAATAAATCAACATTTGATTTATTTCGATAAATATATTCATACTTGTTCTTTCGTTTGAACTCGAATACTTACATATTTTCATTCTTTTGTATGTTATTTTATGTTGTAGTCGTGTTGTTTTTAAATAGGGTTCATCATCTTCACATCAGCTGGACGACTCACTCCACTGCTGAACATAGGCCTGCCCTAAAGATTTCCAGACTAGTCGATCGGACACGGCGTGCATCAATCGATTTCCCGCACCGCCGGAACCGTGCCACTGAACGCCTTCGGGTTCGTGGTCCCCATTCGAGAACCTTTCTGCCCAACAGCCGTCAGTTCTACGAGCTATTTGCCCTGCCCACTGCTACTTCAACTTGCTAATCTTTTGAGCTGTGGCAGTAACTTTCGTTCTTCTACGGATCTCCTCATTTCTAATTCGATCCATAGGGTTGTTATGTTTCAATTCTTGTTTACATACAATATTTGCTAAGCCGTTGTAACATAAAGGTTTTGCCTACCGCCTTTCAAGCTTAGGCCATCTAGGCTCGCACTTCTGATTTTTTTGGAATTTAAGTGCGAAATTTGAAATTTGAAATTTACTTTGAGCTTTTCGGTGAAACGTTATGATAAATCCTGCACGTAGAAGATGATTCAGAACGTGTGAAGTTCCCAACCCACATTAACTAAGGGCTAGAGAAGACCCGTGCCCAGCAGTGGGACGTATAAATGGGTTGATGATGATTATATCAAATATAAACTCGTTCTTATTTGGATTCTTTTATTGTGTTTTAGATCGTGTTATTTTTGGATGGTTGCATAGAGTTGTAATGTTTCTATTCTGGTTTATATACTTGCTACCTATTGCCGTGCTTTTTATATATAGAAAGTCTTTAATTGAGTTCTTTTATCGCTTAGTATTTTGTGTCTTTTTAACCGACTTCAAAAAAAGACGAGGTTCTCAATTCATTCGTATTTTTTTGTGTTATGCCGATTTCTATTATGCCTTTTGCGTTGGAAAAAGGATACCTCAGGTAGTCCTATTCAAAATTGACGAAAATATTCTACCTCTAATAGTGGCAAATTAGGGGATGAATCAGATATTTTGGATTTCATCCACTTTCCGTTAACCGATTTCAATATTTACATGTAATTTTACAAACTTAAAAGTTATATTTATTATTACATATAGGAAATGAAACTATTTTTTCGGATTTAAATCTTGTTTATTTGTTTTTTTAAACAAACCGACGTTTTGGGCCCTTTTCAGGTCCCATGGTCACGGTTGACTGAGGTGGTACAGTCATCAACGAGTTACGTCTAACATTAATGCGATGCGAAGTATTTGTACCCGCGTCAAAGAAAATATAGCTGATGTCGAACACCGTCGCGTAAACAAGTCTGCAGTCTGCGAGCATGTCATGGATAAACCTACACATTCAATGAAGTTCGACAAACCCTAGGTCCTTGCAAAAGAAGTCCGTTATCTACCCATGATGCTGCGAGAGGCCATTGAAATTAAAAAACATCCTAATTTCAACAGGGAAGATGGTTTTTCCGTACCACCAGTTTGGGATCAAGTATTTCCTCTAATGAAAAACCCCAAACAGACATAAGACTGCAGTACTAATTCATGTGTTTTAGTTTATTCTAATTTCTATTATTAATTAATAATAAATTGAACTTAATAAAAATTCATTCAATAAAATAATTTTCTAAAACTTAACGTAGCGTAAATTGGAATGTTTTCTTTGTAAAATCAAAAATAAGGTATTTAATTAATAACTATTGTAACTATAATGAAAAAATAGGGTGATTTCCATTAATATTAGACATAACTGGTTGATGCTGCACCACCTCAGTCAACCGCGACCATGGGACCTGTAAAGAGCCCGAAACGTCGGTTTGTTTGAAAAAACAGATATACATAGGTACGCGATTTAAATTCGGAAAAATAGTTTCATTTCCTATGTGTAACAAACGCGAAAACCTAAGAACTCGATATTATTACATAGTTATGTATGCCTGTTATCTATCAATTTTGATAGATATGTCTGTATTTAGCCTTTTTCTCTTTGTTTCATAAGTAGAAAAGCAAAGATGAATGTTCAATCGTTGGTTCGTTTCGTGGCTTAGCTTAGTTGGCATAGCGTCTGGCACGGTTTGCTAAAAGACGTCGCCGTCGGTTCGAATCCGGCAGGACCGAAGGATTTTTTGTAAGTGTTTGAACTTTGTATTAATATTTTTTTTTTAATTAAAACATACTAGTGAAATTGTGTAAATGTGAAATTACTCACAAAAAAATAATTGAATGTCAATTCAATACAAATTTGAAGAGAAATATGTTTTCCCGAAGTCAAAGGTACTCACATCATAGAAATAATAATAGTTCAAATTGCTGGTGGAATTGGTGATGTTTGTCCACGTCAGATTATTGTCCTCGGGGTAGGGCGTGGTGAAAGAACGCGTGGTCGGAACCAGCTCCTCCATCACCGCTTCAGGATCCATGATGCTGCAACAATGATAAAAATTAAACTTTAGATAAATTTTGTTTCTTTAAATGAAGACCCTAGAAACATTTAAACCAACGTCAATTTATTTATTTTCACTTATTTATTACGACGACCTCCTTGGTCGAGTGGCTTGCATACCAGATGTCTCTGTGGTCCCGGGGAATCGATTCTCGGTCAATGTAGAAAAACTAACTTTTATATATATTACTAACTAAATACTGTCTGGATGTTTGTGGTACCGTTGTTGTTTCCAATTTCCATATCACAAGTGCTACTTAGTTTGGTATCAAAGCAATGTATGTAATGTTGTCAAATATTTCTTTATTACTACGGACACACCCGTTACAACAATCAAAGAAATATTATTAACAACTTAACAATATATACATAAGATAAGATTACTATCTTTCAAGCATCCCTTTCACAATAACGTAACCATTCTGACTATACTCCTGACTATCCATCCGCACACAAGTCGCATTCAGGGTTGGTGTCAAGGCGAGAATTGAGAACCGACAGGAAGCGTGATAAGGTGCTTTTCCACCGACGAGCCGAGAAGAAATGAGACGGGGATTGAAATATTAAAATTTGTACGGCAAAATTTCAGTTCTCCCTTAGCGCATCTTCGGTGGAAATGGTCTGGATTGACGAGGACGGATGAGGCGAGAAGGAATATTTGTTGATGTAATAATGAACCGTACTGCTGCCAACATAGAATATTATACTCTGCAACGGAAACACGATTTCTATTAATAACAATCGCGAGATTGTTCTGTACGTACGATTTGAGATTTAAAAAGAAAAGTTTAGATATTTAATAATAATAATTTACGGGACCCGTTACTCAGCAACTTGTTTATCGCTAAACGAACTGAACAACAAGGTATTTTCACTATACACAACCACAGTACGAGCTCACGTGAGCTCGCGCGAGCTTTTAATTTCAATTTGCGAGATTTCAATTCTCGTCTCGCATCGCCAGTGGTTTTCCACCACCTTTATGGGTGAATTACCGCGCGCTACGGTTCGAGACCACGGAGTGATAAACAACTTGTGTCTTCTACTGCGGTGATGGTTATTAGGCGCGTAGAGTCGACACAGCTCATCATACAATTCTAGGGAATCTATATTACCGCGGAGAATTTTGCACGTAACCATAACTTGGTGTTCCATTCGCCTTTACACTTCGCATAATAACGCTGTATGTAAAGGATGTTCCGGGTTTTCCAACAAGAACTTAGTTTTGTAAATCAAAATAAAACAATAAATTTAGAAGACAATGTCGAGTTCTTAGGTTTTCGCGATTGTTACACTTAGAAAATGAAACTATTTTTCCGGATTCAAATTGCGTATATTTGTTTTTTCAAGCAAACCGACGTTTCGGGCCCTTTACACGATTTAAATCCGGAAAAATAATTTCATTTCTTAGATGACAATGATTCAAATTTTTATTGTATTAAAAAATGTAAGATTTGGCAATTATTAATGAAAAATGATATCTGATAAATGTCCACCACGACCACAGTTACACATGTCGATTCTTTCATCTAAATTTTTAATAACTTTTTGACAAAATGGTGGATCTATTTCGTTAATCACTTCACGAATTTTAAGTGTAAAAGGAGCCATCCCATTGTCCAAGTTTATCTAATCTTCCATTTGAATACAATAGTACAAAATTATGAAAGATTATATCCTCGTATATAACATTTACATTGCATTGTATATACTAATACTTTTTGTGGTGTGCAGACAAAAAAATAAGTTCATTAATATAATTTTGACATTAATTATCAATACTATACGTACTGATGGACATGGGTCTCCTCTCAGGCGAAGGTTTTTTTAGGCCATAGTCCGCTACGCAGGCCCAAAGCAGGTTGGTGATACACAAAGAGCCATAATGCTACTAAATGTTGCATGTAAATGTTGTACATTTTGCGTTGAAGAATAAAGTCTTTTCATTATTAAATTTTTTGTTATTTAAAATCAAATAAACACATAAAGAGCATCTAGTTTTCTTGTCAAAGTCGGTTAAAAATGATATTACTATAACTTCAAACTTCAGTATCGTCTGAACGTGTCTTCATCTTTATTTACAAACAGGTATATAAACTTAAATACGTGCGAAATGTATGACTGATTCGCTGTATCTTAAGATCCCTTTAAGCCTCTTAAATAAACAAATACAACACGAACATTCTCGAGACGAATATGACGTGAATCTTTTGAATTGGTTCTTACATTTTGTTAGAAATCGATATATAGATAAAACGTTTATTCAACACAAACACGTATTAAACAAATATTATATAAACATAACCGAAAAAATTACAAATTAAGATAATAAAAAACAGTAATTGATCACAACATCACCCTTGGTCTAATAAGGCCATATCCGCAAATAAGGCCATATCTGCAAATAAGGCCATGTCTGCAAATAAGGCCATGTCTGCAAAGTGGCAACTTTGCAGGAGTGAGGTTTAACAATTGTGACAGCGAGTTACATTAATACGAGGAATAAAAATAAACTAGCTGTTCTTGTCAGTCGTTTTCTTAAAATCTCAAATTCATTTAAATGGCAATGTATACGCTTCCATAAGGTTCCGATTTATATTTAAAATTTGCCATTTACAAGGCTTAAAACTGTAGTAAAAGAAAACCTTTGTACTAAAGGTTATTATATATATACAAATTCTGCATAGTTGAATGACAAAAATCCGTGGTAGTGACCCGTTTGGTTCTTTTAGGTATTCTCGATGCAAGATGTTTAAATCAAATATTGTAATGATAAATGTATTAACTCAAATATATCCATAATATTAACCTTAGAGCTAAATCCAAACTCATGGTACCACGATTTCGTTTAACCAAGGTAAACAACTCTTTTATGGGGAACTGTATACGTTTTTACAATAAGATTTCGGAGCATATATTAAGTTTATCATTTCCTAAGTTTAAAAACTACATTAAAAATATTTTGATCGAAATATCATATTACAAAATTGAAGACTACGTGTTAGATAAAGATGTATGGAAAGACGACACGGCTCCAGAATCCACACAAATTTGATTCAAAGTGTATTCCATAGCATTTAAGTTTATTTGAAAAGAGCAATCCCTAGAGTTTCTTGCTCGTTCTTCTCAGGGAGGTCAGCGTAGTGAACGAGCAGTAGCTTAAATGTGACGTTTTAAGTGTAAATTTATTTTACCTATGGAATAAATAATCTTTGACTTTGACTTTGACATTGAAATGTATATTTATTTACAAAAAGCAATACCTATAGCTTCTTGATCATTCTTCTCTGGGGAATTTGCCTTACAAATGAGCAGTAGAGTTTAATCATCTACATCATCAAACTTAAGAGTTATAACTCTTGTCGGTGGAGCATCTTCCAGTCATGTCTCTTATAAGCCACCTCCTTTTATTTGGTCTATGGAACTGTGCCTAGGTCGACCTCTTCCCCTTTTCCCTCGATCTTTTCCTCCAAAATGGTCTTAAAGAAGTTGTCGTGTCGTATCAAATGTCCAATAATTTTCCCGCGTCTATACTTTGTTTTTTTTTCTCGTTCACCATTTTCAATATGATACTGTAGATGAAGTAGACACATTTAACTTTCTTTGGTTAACAATCGACAAGAACCTTAACTGGAAGGAACACATCGAACAGATGTGCATGAACCTAAACAGATTTGTTTACGCTTTACGAAGACTAAGGCAAACTGTCTCGCGAGAAGCTGCGTTGACGGCCTATCACGTCTACGTTTCGTCCGTGCTCAGCTACGGTCTTGTACTATGGGGTTACTCAGTAATCTTGGAAAGAGCGTTTAAAGTCTAGAAGAAGTGTATTCGAGCGATTTGCGGTGCGTGGTTCGATGACAGTTGCAAACCGCTGTTTAAAAGGCTGAACATATTACCTTTGCCATGCATGTACTTTAGGGATATCTGCGTATTTGTCAACTCTCATCCTCAATATTTTAAAACACGCGGTGAAGTCATTCAAAGGCAAACTAGAGCAAAAATTATGAATCTCTTATACCAACCTCGTTGCCATAAAGTAATTTATAAAAATAACTGCTTCAACATGTGTATAATTATTTACAATAAATTACCAAACGAAATTAAATTGTTAAAAGAACACTTTTAAATTAAAATTGAAAAAATTGCTTTTGACACATTGCTTCTATAATAATAAAGAATACTTAGAATTTACAAATTCATTACATTAATTAGAAACCATAGAGACTAAAGAAACATTGAATCCATTAATATTTGCACATCTGCTTGCAGGTTGAATACAATGTACTTAATTTTACTTAAGACCTTTGTAATTACTGTATTCTGGCAAATAAACGTATTCTATTCTATTCTATTCAATACTTCCTCATTGGTTTTAATCTTTCCTCACTCTTTGCGTCAGTGTGCATGCTTCACATCCATAAAGTGCAATTCTCCAAATGTATACTCTAAATTTAAGAGTTTAATCAGTATGACGATTTCAAGTATAATTTGCTTAACTATGAAGTAAAGATGATTTTACTTTGACTTTGACTTTGATTCTACAAACAAAATTAGTGATAATTTTTTTTATGGTTAAATAGGAGAGTTATAAAACTTCTCATATACATAATTTGTTTTATATGTAGTACGAAAAATATTCTCAGCCGTAAAGCACCTTGTGAAAAAGATCGCCCAGGGAAGTACATCCACCTCACCTACTTCTGCCGCCAAGCAGTGATGTGAGCATTACTGCGTTCAGGTTTTGAAGGGTGCTGGTGAAATTACAGACACAAAGAACTTGTCATCTTATATATCAGGGTGACGGGCGCAGTGGCAGCGCCCCTCAGATCTTTTTGATTTAAAACTCTGAATAGGACTGCAACTGTTATGGACAGGCGTGTCGCTGTCGTACAGTTCGTCTCGTCACTTGATATCATAAAAAAAACCTTGACTTGAATTCGTGATAACTGAGTTACGAGCGTAGAACGTACGCGC